CCCCTCCCGACCCCCCCTCCTCCGGAACCTCCCGACCCCCCCTCCTTCGGCGGTGTCCGTTGCGGAAATCAGTTTAAAAGGTATGATTTTTCTACTGAGCTTTAGAAATTTCAATTTTATTATTAATTATTGTTGAATTTGGTTAAAAACCCTAATTATGTTGAAAAATAAACGAGTTCAATTCTGAAAATCCTAACTTAATTAAATACATGTTAATTCATTTGAACAACACTAGTTATCATTATTGAGTTTTAAACACTTATAAACCCTAACTCATTTAAGTTTCATTCGTGCTATAAGTATGTGTGATTATTTAAGTTTGTGATGTGAAAATATGTGAAATAATTTTTTGTAAAAAATAGAGTGATATATAACACATTATAAATTTTTATAATGTGTTATAATCCAATTTAGGTGAATAAAAAAATAACGTTATCCCTAGACTTCCGTCCAATAATTACATCCAATTATTTGGACTTATAATATATGATATACGACTCAGATTTGGGTAGGAGACGAAGTTTTCTTCCAAAATGAGCGTTTATTTTATATTATAGGAATAAAAAAATTGGTACTGAAATTCGTAATTATTGGATCTGTCCTTCTCGGACGGGTTAGGAATATAGTAGTGCATACATCCAACTTTGTATACTTTGTATATTTTCATTCTTGAAAGTTTTGGCAGCACGTATTCGTTGTTCTCCGTGTACAATAAGCGTATGTTGTTCTGCGTTTCGGGCTATTGCTGATACGCATAATAACATCCGCACAGTGTACAGGGAGAACAGCGGGTAGGTGCTGCCGAAATTTTCAAGAAATGAAAATATACAAAGTATATGAAGTTGGATGTAAGCACTACTATATTCTTAATGGATAGAAGCCTTCCTATGACAGCCGATCAATTGGTGTAATTAGTTTCTACGTACGTTTCAAATATATTTTATGTAGAACTAAATTTATATTGTTAAATGATATATGAACGTATGTTAGATTTGTTTTGTATGTATAAGAGTCATGAATGTACTAGTAGTTGTGTGATTTGTCGTAGTTAATAATTATATATAATTTACAGATGAGGGTAATTCCTGACAAATCATGGATAGATATCCCACGGCTTCATAGATTTCGTGACACACGATACAAGGAGGGATGTGAAGCCTTCATACGTTATGCAGAAATGAATCCGAGAAAATTAGCAAGTGGTGCTATGTATTGTCCTTGTTGCATGTGTAGGAATTTGAAATTGCTGAATAGTAATGATATATGGATCCACCTAATGAAATCATGTTTTGATGAAAAATATAAATATTGGAACTGGCATGGGGAAGGTATCACTGAAGATGAGGATCCAAATGTGCGTGTCGGTACGTCCGGTGGACAACGAATAGATGACACAGAAACAATGTTGAATGATATTTTTCCTCGACCTAGAGAATTTGAGGGTGATGATAATGTCGAGGATGATATCGGAGATAAAAGTGAAGATGATATCGATGTTGAAGCTGAAGAAGTAGGAGATGATGGAAGTGCCGAAAATATTGATGATATGCATTCCTCCGCAGAAATAGAACGAATATTGAAGCTACTAGAAGATAGTGAAAAGGACTTATATGAGGGATGTACCGAGTACTCCAGATTTTCATTTATGCTAAAACTCCTACACATTAAGACACTTAGCGGTATGTCAGATAATTATTTTGAAATGCTTCTTGATTTGCTTCGAACTGTAATACCTGGAGGAGTGAATAGCATACCCCAAACAACTTATCAAGCTGAGAAGATTGTCGCTGCTCTGGGTCTAGATTATAATAAGATTGATGCATGTCCGAATGATTGTATTTTGTACCACAAGGCCAATAAAGACCTTCAAGAATGTCCGACATGTGGAGTTTCTAGGTGGAAACAACGTACAAATTCTTCAATAAGGATTACAACGGAGACAGAGAAAACAACGTACAAATTCTTCAATGAGGGCCATTATTAGGTGGAATAGTTCTAATTTGCCCGTTGGTCCATGGTCGACCTGCTTGAATGCATATATTGGGGTTCTAGTGCGTAGAGCGACCATTATCAACCCTTATTTTCAATTTCGAGAACTACCATGGAGCGCATACGAGGCGATATGGACAGAGCTTATGGTAACTACATATTGCTATTACTTTTTATTTATTAATAATTAGTATTTGATATTAAATTATCTTTCCTAAATGTGTATGTAAATCTACAGGACTGCTTCTGCCTTGAGGACTTTGAGGGGGCTTGGAATTATGTGTTCAATGTCAAGGTTGAAGCAGTTCTCAAACAATGGAGGCATGAGATCAAACATGAAACCTATGACAGGTATGAGGAGGACTGGCAGAGGTTTTTAAACCTCGACGCCCGAGTTGACGAGGTTCATTTCACAGCTCTCCTCATGTATTGGGACAGCGATGCCTCCAAGGTTAGTTTCATGAAAATTACTTTATACTTTTAAGATATTAATTTATTGCATATTTGCTAATTTTTTTCTTTTAAAAAAGAATAAATCCACGAAGGGGTCAGAAAATAGAAGAAAGAAGCTGCATGACCACCACTTGGGCTCACACTCCTATGCCAATCTGGAGGATGTTTATTGTCAGGATACGGTAGATTTCCGTCTAAAGTTTTGATGAATTTAATGATTAGTATGATTATGAGTGTGATAATATATAATATGACAGGGAAAATCATTAATGCCAATACACTTGAGGGCGAAAGCGGCGTATGGCATTTTCCGTGATAGATATAGGGGTGATGAGAAGAATCGAGATAAGATCAAGGCAAATCTCGAGTTGGTGGTGAGAGTTATACATATCTTGTGTAGTATTATTAATTCTATTTTGTTGTTAATATTATGAGGAAATGAGAACACAAATAACATTGTCTTTACCATGAAATAATTATATATTTGTGCTTTAGGAGGGATTTGAGGCTGCATCAAAGGAGGCTGCAACTGTGTATATGTCGCAGCAGGAGGAACAATCTGAGCCGGACCCTCACATGCTTTCTGCAGAGGACAACATTACTCTCACACAGCATTTGATGGGTCATAATAGGTATGGATGTAGAAAATTTGAATCAATTTGAATACTACATTCCTATTTATATTTTTTTATCATTATTGAATTCGAGAGGTAAATTTAATATTTATTTCTCCCTAAACATAGGAGAGGGAGATATCCTCTGCATGGTGTTGGAGCTTCACCCGGCGTAAGCATGAGGTCATCCACAGCATCCTCCACACCATTTACATCCATGAGTATCCCCGATTTTCGCTATCCGATAAGAATTTTGGTCGTCCGATAAATTCCCGATAACCGATATTTAAAACCTTGGTCATAATAGGTATGGATGTAGAAAATTTGAATCAATTTGAATACTACATTCTTATTTATATTTTTTTATCATTATTGAATTCAAGATTAAAATTTAATATTTATTTCTCCCTAAACATAGGAGAGGGAGATATCCTCTGCATGGTGTTGGAGCTTCACCCGGCGTAAGCATGAGGTCATCCACAGCATCCTCCACAGCATTTACATCCATGAGAGCAGCCCCGCCTCGGTTCCAGGCTATGCCATTTGTCGCACGTATCTCTGCATATTTGCTTGACAAGATTGACTCGGAGCTACATATCCAGGTGACTAATGAGATGACAAGAGTTGCGCTGACGGCGAACTCGATGGATGATCTCCTGGGGTATGTCATGCAATATTTAAGCGGTGCGATTCCTCATAGCGCGTATGGTGGTGTTATACGGATTATAAGCTCGCTTGGCGATAATTCTGGTGCTGGTCAGAGCAACACTCAGGTACCTTATTTTTTCCTTAAAATAATAAATTCGTTTATATTTAATATGTATTAAACACCTGTTTGTTGGAAATTTGCAGTAAAAAGACAATGAAAGAAAAATTTGACTTGTATTTCTCTCAAAATCAATTACAATTTGGATTCCGATTACAAAAGAGAGGAGAATGAATTTGATTCTCCCCTTTGTTTAAAACTGGGTTCTTCTTGGTAGCGGTGGAGTGCTTCCTTCGATTGATCGCGTCGAACTTGCTCTCCGTTGACGATCCGACCGTCCTTCTTCACTGGAATAATTGAAGTGCTTGCTGACTTCGGTTTAAAACTCTTAACGAGTGTAAAGAACTCTGAACGAGTTAAGAACTCTGATAAGAGTTGTTAAAAACCGAATGTCTGGCTCGATGTGATTAACTTGTGTTGCAAGTTAATTAAGAACTCTTGACGAGTTTAAGGACTCAGAATGAGTTGAAACTCTGTAACAGAGTTGTTGGAACCGAAGATTCGGTTAATTGCCAAGTGGATTATGATGTTGATGAAGGGATCCTCCGAGATTTGATTAACTGATCATTGATCAGTTCTTTGATCTTCAAAAGATCTCCTCTTTCGTGCTGTTGAACTGCTGAGATTTGTTGACCTTGGGCGGGTTTGATGCCAGCTCCTCCTTAACCTTATGCGGTTTTACTGTTAAAAGCCGATCAACCAACCGATCAACCTCCTACTCTGTTGAGTAAGTCGGTTATTTATAGGGGGTTAGTGATGTAACCAATCCCTAAATCCGCTCCTAAGTGGGCGAAGATCCCTCAGAACGTGGGATAACGGTTTTGAGGCCGTTCGACTTGCGTTTGAACAAGTCAAAACGCCTCAGTTGGCGTTATGGGCTTTAACTCTGCGTCCAAGGCTTGAGACGCAGAGTTAAATCTCTGTTAGAGATTTGAGACGCACAGGCCGTGTGCGTTGAAGCTCAACTCTGCGTCCAGAGTTTGGGACACGTAGTTGAACCTATTGAAGAACGCACGTTATGTGTGCGTTTGGTGCTTGAACTCTGCGTTGCAGAGTTAGACATTCGCTGGAGAACGCACAAGTTGTGTGCGTTTCGAATTTGAGAAACGCAGAATTAAACTTCTACGTTTGATAGAGGTTGTTGACTTGTAACATCGTCTGCCATGACATTGCAAAGGCCATTGTTTATTGGTCTTTGCCTGTTATAAGATATGAGAGTCGTCAGATTGTAACTCTCACCAACGATCGTGAAGGCCACTGAATAGGGTTTTCATCAGCTGTCGGAAGCGTCGTCAAATTGTAACTCTTCTCGATCTGTGTGAAAAGTCTCCTATTTGCCCTTTCCGACTGTCGACCCGAAAGCTATTTGATTGTAGCTTTCGTTGTGAGAGCTTGACGGGAATCAACATCCATAGTGTTTTGAAGATGGATATTTGCCCACAGCTCTCTACCAAGCGACTCACCAACTAAGTCCAACCTTTTATTTCTGAAATCATTACACTGCTCATCAGCATCTCTAATAGTTGCTAATATAATATTAGTCATGCTGTTGTCGCAGCCATCAAGATCAATCATCTCAGAGATGAGGCCTTGTTTATAGCGGTTGCAGAGTTGCGGATGCAGTGATTAGAAAGTCGTCTGATTGTAACTTCCATTATCAGGGCTTGATAGGGATTAGCTATCCATTGTGATTTTTAGACAGCCTACAGAACCCCCTCCAAAGTTTTCGAAAGTTCGCGGTTGACTGGGACGAATTTTCGGAATACTTTGGATCTCAAAATTTAGAAGACGTTGTCAGACTTAGTTGATTGGAATCTAATTGTACTCATCCAATGGACTCTTTTGTGGGGTCACTTATTTCTTCTTGGCTTTTAGTCGCTTTGATAGCTGACATTAGCCTCCCTCTATTTATTTGGAACCATGTCTTGGCTATAAACATAGAGGAAGTCGTGTGGTTGAGTCAGAACGCACAGATAGATTTCTTGCGTTATTAACTCATGTAAATTATGGCCCGTAGTGGCCCTTTTGCTTATTCTGTTCACCTTTGCTTTGCGCATACAGTTTTCTCTCTTTGACTGCGCCGTTGGGCATTTGAATTGAACTTGACGATCCACTGATTGTCCTGTTTAGGACTTAGTCGTATTAAGCTCTTGTTTTGCTTTCTGTTGCTCATAGCGTGGGATCGGATTAACTCCGATCTTCGCGTTGTAGCTCCAACGGGATCGAGAGAGTAACCCTTGGATCGCAATAAAGAACAAACATTCGCCTTTACGGCCAACTGATGAACTTGACTTCGACTCGCTTTTCGGCGAGTTGTTGTATGGGGGAACCGACAGACAGGTTGTCTGTCGAACCGTGTTCGACAATTGTCGTCATGTGGGAATGTGACAATTGATTGTGGTAGGAGTCATCGCCTGGTAGACTCTACCTATCAGTTATCCTAAAGCAATGTTAGGACATCTGGAATAGGTCAAATAGTTCAGGGACGTAGGAGTGTGACTATTGACAGAAGTAATAGCACGTCGCATGGTAGGCTATTACTTAGGCTATGCTATTCGTAAGAATAACGGCGCCAACCATCAGAGGTGATCATTAACTTGATGGGATCTTGTCGCGATTGGAGCGACCGTGGGGGGAGGCTACCATTTCTCAGAATAAGAGTGGTAAGCGGATTTTGTCAGAGGTTTGATGTTAACTTGACGGGGAATGTCGTGATTGGAACGACTTTGAGGACCCACCATCCTTTAGAAGAGGATTGGTAAGTTGATTTTGTCAGAGGTTTAATGTTAACTTGACGGGGAATGTCGTGATTGGAACGACTTTGAGGACCCACCATCCTTTAGAAGAGGATTGGTAAGTTGATTTTGTCAGAGGTTTAATGTTAACTTGACGGGGAATGTCGTGATTGGAACGACTTTGAGGACCCACCATCCTTTAGAAGAGGATTGGTAAGTTGATTTTGTCAGAGGTTTAATGTTAACTTGACGGGGAATGTCGTGATTGGAACGACTTTGAGGACCCACCATCCTTTAGAAGAGGATTGGTAAGTTGATTTTGTCAGAGGTTTAATGTTAACTTGACGGGGAATGTCGTGATTGGAACGACTTTGAGGACCCACCATCCTTTAGAAGAGGATTGGTAAGTTGATTTTGTCAGAGGTTTAATGTTAACTTGACGGGGAATGTCGTGATTGGAACGACTTTGAGGACCCACCATCCTTTAGAAGAGGATTGGTAAGTTGATTTTGTCAGAGGTTTAATGTTAACTTGACGGGGGATGTCGTGATTGGAACGACTTTAGTGGATCCGCCATCTCATTGGAGAAGATAGGCGAATTGGATGGATTTGTCGTGATATGAACGACTTTAGTGGATCCGCCATCTCATTGGAGAAGATAGGCGAATTGGATTCCGTCAGAGGCTTTCGCCCGAACGGGTAAAGTAGGAGCAGTTTAGCCTCATGTACCAGTTGGAGGGCGCTGAGGGCCAGTTTAGACTCTTGCACTCGTGGGAGTTTGTGAAGGAGCACTATGGGTAGTACTTCTTCAGATACTTGCCGTTGATGGGCATCATGATTTTATCGCCGTTCGGTTTGACGAGGCGATAGGCGCCGTTCGAGTAGACTGTCTCTACTACGAATGGCCCTTCCCATTTGGACTGGAATTTCCCCTTCTTCTTGGAAGTGAGGATCATTGGTCTACGGACGGATAGGACGAGCTCTCCTTCTTTGAAGGCTCGGCGCTTGACTTTCTTGTCGAAGCTCCTGGCCATCCGAGCTTGGTAAAACTCGATGTGCTGCTGAGCTTCCAGTCGCCTGTCGTCCAGCGCTTCGAGTTCTGCGAGTCGAAGCCGGTGATTCTCCTCGGCTGTCATTCCTGTTGATAAGGCGACGCGGAGGGATGGAATCTGAATCTCTAACGGCAATACAGCTTCGCAGCCGTATACCAACGAGTAGGGCGTAGTGCCAGTCGGTGTGCGAACCGTCGTGCGATATGCCCACAGGCTTTCGCCTAGCTTTTCATTCCAGTCGCGCTTGCTAGTGGAAGTCAGCTTGGTCAAGATCTTGATGATCGTCTTGTTGAAAGCTTCGGCCAAACCATTCGCTGAAGGGTTGTAGGCCGTGGACGAGAGGTTCTGTATCCGGAGTTTGTCGCAGAACCGGGTGAAGGCATGGCTAACGAATTGCGTGCCGTTGTCGTGAATGATACGCCGGGGTACGCCGTATCGGTATATGACATGGTGCTTAATGAACTTAATCACGTCGCTAGTCTTGACTTCTCTTAAGGGGATGGCTTCTGCCCATTTAGAGAAATAGTCGGTGATCGCGAGGATGAAGCGATGGCCTCTCGCCGATGGTGGAGAAATTGGCCCGACTATGTCCATCCCCCATGCCTCGAAGGGCCAAGATGCCCTCGTCGGATGTAGATCCTCAGGAGGCTGGTGCATGTAGTTGGCGTGGATCTGGCATTCGTAACATCGCTTAGCATAAGCGACTGCATCAGTA